CACGGACGTGGGCGGGGGCTCAGGGCGGGTCCGTGGACACGGACGTGGGCGGGGGCTCAGGGCGGGTCCGTGGACACGGACGTGGGCGGGGGGCTCAGGGCGGGTCCCGGTCACGGATGTGGGCAGAGGCTCAGGGCGGGCCGCGCACCGCACCGGAACATGGTCTGCACGTTGACAATGGTCTTTGCGTCGGCCATGTAGTCCTCCTTGGCGCTCATGGTGCTCTCCTTGTCCACCACCACCAGGTTGTCGGCGTAGATGATGCCGCACTGCAGCAGGCTGTCCAGGCTGCGGGGAGACGGCCTGGGGTGTGTCCTGCTCCCTCCCACTCCGCCCTGGCCGCCCGGGGAGGAGGGGAGAGGGCGGGGGCCCTCCTGCGGAGCGGCGTCTTACTTGTCCACGGAGCCCTCCATGTAGTAGACCATGGGGAAGCAGCAGATGGCCTCCAGGAAGTGGTGGTCAGGCCTGTGGGCACAGCAGGTCCTGGAGGCACCCACCCTGCCCTGCCGCCAGCCCCCATGGCCAGCCCAGCCCTGACCTGGGCGAGCAGGGGCCCCAGGACCGCAGCGTGTGGGACCAGGGGGGCCTTTAGAGGCCAATGGGGCTGCTCTGTATCGTACCCGCGGGGAAACCGAGGCCCCAGGGGCCAGGACAGCCGAGGCTGGACCCCGGCGTCTGGGGGTAGCAGTGCTGGAGGTCGGCCCCTGGGGGCTCATGGTCGTGGGGACCCAGTGGGGCTGGGAGAAGCCCTGCGGGAGGACGACGGAGCAGTGCCGAGGGCCGGGGCTGCTCCCCTGCCTCCCGAAGTGCCCCTCTACCTGTTGTCCAGCAGCAGCACGATGGGGTTGAGCTCTCTGCGGGGCCGGTAGTAGGCGCGGAGCGGCACGATGAAGTTGTACAGCCCGTTGCCCGCCGTCTCCGCCGACACGATGATCAGCCTGTTCTTGAAGCCGTAGGCCTTGGCATCCTCGTAGCTGTTGTGCTTGCAGCCCTGCGGGGGAGACGCCGCGATCAACCACCGGGGAGGGAGAGAGCGTGCCGTGCTGGGGTCCTCGGCCAAATGGCACCTGGTCGCCAGCCACCTGGCCTCACGGGGCTGCAGGCCACCAGCCCGCCGCACAGAGTGTGCGCTGGGGCCACCGTGGGAGAGGTCGCGTCCGGGAGGGAAGGGAGGTATCTGTGCGAGCACACGGTCTTAGCAGGTGCAGATACGGACAGATGAGTTGTGTGTGCACACATCTGGTCGTATGCGCACACACGTGTGTGCATGTGTGCACACGTTTGGTCATGTGTGTACGCATTGTTATGTGTGCACACATTTGGTCTGTGTGTACACGTGTGTGCATGCGTGTACACATTTGGTCGCGTGCATACACATTTGGTCATGCATGCACAGGTGTACACATTTGGTCGTGTGTGCTCGTGTGTACACACACTTTCTAGCTCTCTGCGTGGAGAGACTCAGATACAAAGCACCAGTGAGCACACCAAGTGCCCAGACCTTATTTCTAAACGTGGTTTCCACTGAAAGGAATCAGGTTTCTTGGAGGAGCAGTTGGTTCCAGGACCGGAGCAAGGCAAAAACAAGATGCGGGGGGTGGGGGTGGGGGCACCGTGGGTTCAAAGGCATGGACGTGTTCAAAGATGAGGGGACATGTTGGAAGGACCGGGAGGCCAGCCTGAGGGCCCACCAGCAAAAGTCCACGTGTCAAAACCAGCATGATCCACATGGAATGCCGATGTAGCAGTAATGACCAACTGGTTTACCCTCTGAGTGAAAAAGTGAGGCCACACTGACGTACACAAATGGCTAAGAAAGGGGAAACACTTTCTCCCAGTGAAAAGCTGACATAAACACAGAAGGAAGTGGAATCAGCAAACCATCGGCTGTGGCGGAAATGCGTCGGGGGAGCTCAGTCAAGGCCGGCTTATGTACCTGGTCCCTATGTGTCTCCCCACAAATGACGTCCTAACTGCAAAGGCGAAACAGTAGCTCCTCCAGCAGAGAGACTGGGTGCGCGAGGCACCCGTACCACGTGCTCTAAGGCAGCATCACGGGGAGGCCTCCAGGAGGACGTGGCACCTCTGGGGGGTCCAGCCCCCAGCGCATGGGCCGAGTCACCGCCCACCCCGCCCCGCCCCGCCCCCCCGCCAGGGATGCTCCACCAAACCCAAAACACGGAGACCCAGAGACCCTGGGGAGGGGAAGGGGCAGGGAGCGTCCAGATGGAGGGAGACAAGCTGTGGCTCTGGCCGGGAAGGGCAGCGAGGGCTCCTGGGACAACCAGGGCCAGTGGAGTGTGGGCTGCAGGCCAGGCCGGTTGTGGTGAGTGGACGGTGGTTATGAGAGGGGCACCCTCGCTTCAGCAAGCGCACGTGGATACAGGAGGGAGAGAACACGCCTCTACAACAGACACAGATGTCGGGGAGGGCAGACAGGGTCCAGGACGTCCTCGGCGCATCCTTGCCACTTCCCCAACTTTGCCGTGACCTACCTTGTCCAGCCGCAGGCAGCAGAAGGGGGCTTTCACGGGCAGGAGGTGGCACAGGGTAGGGGAGCTGCCAATGTAGGGCGAGTTGGGGGGGTAGCCCTTCACGTACCTTGGGGGAGAGACAGGAGCCTCAGCCTGGCCCTCGGGCCCTAGGCTGCCACATGGGGGTGGGGTGCCAGACCCCTGCAGACCTGACTGGGCCAGGTAAGATTGCATGCAACGCGCGCACGTACACGCGCACACACACACGAGCTTACACAGGCCACGAAAGAACCTTAAGGGGCTCTGACGGCCCATCACCCCCTGGTGCCCCCAGCACCCCAACGCAGGGGCAGACGCTGGCCCGTGGTCCCCGCTCCACTGGCTCCCCTGGGCCAGGCTGGTCGCCCCACAGGCTGTACTCCCCCCGCCGTCCCCACAGCACCCCGCGCACACACACGCGGTGGTTACCCTGCCGTGGTTGTCCCCCCAGGCCGCCTGGAGAGGGGCTGGCCTCCCGCTCCACCTCCGGTTGGCTTAAGGGACGTGGCGTCCGAGGCCAGCCCGCCACCTGCCCCAGGTGTGCAGGAGCCCTGCCAGGCCCCTCGATCTCAGAGCTGGTCCCCGGCAGCCTGTGTTTAAAGCATGTTTACTCCACCACGGGGCAAAGGCAGGAGCCGAGAGGGCTGCAGTGACAGCCCGGCTGGGAAGCGCTGGCCGTGGCCCTGGGGTCAGGCACCGCCTGTCCCAGACGAGGCCAAGTGGCCAAGACCTGGGGACACAATGGGGTCTCTTCTGTCTCATAATCTCAGAGGAAGACCTGGGCCCAAACCCAGGGCAGCATGATGGCTCAGGATGGGCCAGTGGCCTCCACGCCCGGAAGGCACCTCACCCCGGGCTCCCCTGTCTGTGACCTCTGCAGACCACGCTCAGAGGGTAGCCACCCTGCCAAGCGGGCCGTGGCACTGAGGCCTGGCCGCCCAGGTTGTGATAGGGGAGGACGAGGGGTGAGGGTGGGCACTGCCTGGCCTTCCTGTCCACGAGCTGGGTCCCCAGAAGATTCCACTTGCCAAACAAGGTCTCTGGGGAAGCTGTTTGGAAGCCTTGTTCAGAGCGTGGGGCAGACCCAGGACCGGCGCCGCTGGCCCACCTCTTCCTGGGTGCCGGGCACTCACATGCTGCCCCTCCCCTCTCCCGTGGAAGGCTCCTGTTCCCCCTCCAGCCCCGGCGGCACTCACTCCACCACAGACAGCCCCTCCTCGTCCGACGGCGTCATCTCGTCCTCCGACTGGTCACTCAGCAGGTCGCAGGGCAGCAGGGTCGAGCTGTCAGCCACCTCCAGCACGGGCGCGATGCTGGGCCGCCGGCTGCCCGAGCCGTTCTCCGTGGGGAGTGCCAGCTTGCTGCCCCCACTGCCTCCGCCGCTCTGTGCTGGCTGGCACTCCGTGTTCTGGAGGTCCATGGCCACTGTCCCTGGAACAGAGTGGCTGAACTTGGCTGGAAGTCCCTCCCCTGTCTGTCCCGGGGACAGGGGTTCCCGGAGTGGAGGTGGACAGAGGCTCCCAGTGACCCTTGACGCAGGGCGGTCTCACCCGGGCGGGCACTTGGACATCGATGCCGACACAGGTCCCCACAGGAAGGCAGGATGCCCCCACGGGACAGATGTGCAAACTGAGGCCAGAGAGGCGGGACTTGCCCAGGGTTACGCTGCGGGCTTGAGCACCTGGGTCTCCTGGGTGGGTCCCCCGCCCACCCCTCCCGCCCCGCCGGGAGCTGGACTCGGCCTCACCCATGGAGGCGATGATGCTGTGCACGGGCAGGCGGGACGACCCCTCGTACAGCCCCTGCCCCGCGAAGCCCTTCTTCTTCTGCTTTTCCTCCTGCTTGAAGATGAAGGCCGAGTTCTCCTCCTTGGTGATGTTGATGTAGAAGCAGGTGTCGGAGGCGGCCAGGATGTGCCGGGGCCCCGGGTTCAGCAGGATACTCTTACTCTCCTCCCGCTTCAGGCCGATGAGACACACGCCGTACCTGAGCGGACAGGGCGGGGGCTCGATGGGGCCCAAAGCTGCCCCTCCTGGGCTCCTTGGGGGCTGACGGTGCAGCCCTCCGCTCACGGGTGTCGGGATGCCTTCCCACTCGACGCAAAGACCCACCGAGGGCAGCCTCGAGGGGGAGGGCAGAGGAGAGAGGGAGAGGGAGAGGCCCCGTGCGGGTCTCAGGGCTGAGTGGGCGTGACGTCTGACCCTGAGGCCCCGCTGGTCCACCCTGCAGCGGGCACGGGCCACGCCCATTTCAGCCTCCGGACCCCGCCCCGCACTCCTCTCACCCTGGCCTGGACCGGGTCGGGGGACGTACTTCTTGTGCGCGTGGAAGGCAGCGTAGGTGAAGCTCTTGCCCTCGTACTCGCGGAAGAACTTGCTGTCCCCCATGCGGATGTGGTAGACCTCGTTGCCCGAGCAGCGTCCGTACATGCGCTGCCACTGCTCCGGTGAGTCCTGGCCTTCCCTGGGGCGTGGGGAGGGTGTCACCCCCACGGCCGCCCCCACCCAGCTGGGCTATGGTGCCCCCCAAATGTGGCTTCTGCCGGTGTGGGTGGAAGCCAGCGTGACCCCTGACCCCAGCCCCTCCTCGTCTGGCTGAGACTAGACCTAGGTGGCCTGATGGGTCCTTGGCCAGTTTTAAAAAGCTGTAAACACAATGGTCTGATTTTTAGGGGTGTCAAAATGTTTCAGAGTCAAGACTGCCCTCTGCGGCCTGTGGGTCCTCCCAGGAACCCCGGGCCACGTCCTCTTCCCCTGCCTGGTCCCTCCCCTAGGGCCGCCCAGGCCCCACAGGGAGCCGAGGACACCCGTCGGGGCCCCCCACACCCCAGCCTGGTTTTCCCAGAGAGAAGATGGTGCCCCTCCTCTGTCCCAGGGCAGCCCCTCACCTCAGGCTCTGCCTGGGACCCCAGCCCAGGTGCCAAACACCAAACGCGCCTTCTCTTACAAACCAAGCCCCGCCGGACCCCGTCACTGTGCCTAGATCCCAGGGCTCTCCTGCTGCCCCCGCTACGGCCCTCTGCTCCACGGCGGGCCCCGCCTGCAATTCCCAGCAGCCCCCAGGCCGCCCCCCAGCTGCGACCCCTCGCTCGGCGAGGCACCGACTGCTTCCTCAGCTGGGTCCACAGCGGTCGTTTCCCCGGGCCTCGGCCCCTCCCATCACAGGTCTCCTCAACGCCTCCCGCTCCCCCAGCAGCCCCCCACCCCACCCCACCCCCGTCTCGCTGGCTGCGCGGCCCTGGGGCAGCACTCACTGGCCGCGGGACGTGTGCACCAGCAGCGTGATGAGGGTGGGCGTGGCCGGGCAGATGCAGCTCAGGGCCAGCATGGCGTACTTGCATTCCTCCTCACACACCACGTGCTCTGCGGGCAGGAGCGCCAGGGCCACCGCAGGCTCTTGCTGCCCCACGGCACACGCCCCCTTGCCCAGCACCCCCCAGAACCCCTCCCCGCCCTGCTCAGCGCCATCCAGTGCCCTGCCCCTGGGAGCCTGTTCATTGTCTCGGCTCTTCTGTGCTTGTCTCCGGGCTTGACCGAGAGCTCCAGGGCTGGGGGCGGGGCTGTTCATTGGTCCCCCAGGTGTCCAGCACAGGCCTGCTCGCCTGTGCCCTCCAGGGGTCGGCACAGGCGCCCAGCTCGGGCACGCCCACAGAGGTGCTCGTCAGACACTGCTTCTGCCCGCCCTGGCCCCCAGGCCCAGGTGCAGAACCTGCATGGGCTCTGCCTCTATCCCACACCCCGCACGCTCGCCCGTGAGCACACAGGCGCCCCCCTCCAGGCCAAACATACCTGCAAACTTGACGTGAAACTTGTTCTCGGGCTTGAGGATCTGGACGTAGAGAGGGCAGTTGGGGGCAAAGTCCTTCACAGCCCAGGCGCGCAGAATGGTCTGGTGGTCCTGAGGCAGGGAGGCCACGGTCGGTGCTGACGGGCAGCAGCAGCCTGGGGGAGGGGCTCTGCCCCCAGGCGCCCCCCCCCGGCCTGCGGGCAGGTGGTGGGCGGCAGTGGGGGGACTCACCGCTGCGGTGCGGTCCACCTCGTTCCGGCTGCTGAGGATAAAGCAGGCCTCCCCGTTGTCCATCCTGCAAAACACCGGGTCTGAGCACCACCAGGGCCGTCCGTGGTGCTCCCGTCTCGGCCGTCAGGGGAAGAGTTGGGCCTTGTTGAGACCCCAGCTCGCTCTGGGAAGCCCTGGATGGGCTGAGGATGGGCCCCCGCTAACCCGGGGTGGGGCTGGGGCACGGAATGAAGGGCCCACTTGGTGGCAGAGAGGCTGGACCCTGCCCGCTGGCCTGTCCTCTCCCGAGACAGGCTGCCCGAGGCCTGCGGATGACCCGTTCTGCTCCCCTCATGCCCCCAGAGCCCCTGGCTGCACAAAGGGTGGCTGAGAAACTGTCCACGCCCCAGGGCTGGGGGGCCTAGCGGCTCCCACCCCATCACCTGGCACCCCAACTTGTCCCTGTCTGGGGCCTTGATTCCTGGGCGAGCCTGTGGGGCCCGAGGCTCAGAAGGTAGGCGTGGGGGGGGCGCCGGCTGCCGGGCCTCCTGCTTCCTTGGCCTCCACACAACCCACATTTCACCTCGAAGGTTACGTCAGGCTCTGGAATAAAATCCTGACGGGTGATGGGGGAGCCTCCGGGGTGTCTGTGTGCCGCAGCAGATTCTGGAAAGTTCCATTCACAACTCAGCCTCCTTACCTCAAGTCACCCTGTCACCTCGTCTTCAGAAGAAAACCTGCCCACAGCCTCAGCTTCCCACCTGACTCAGAGTGGCAGCTGCCCCCAGGCCCCCAGATGAACAGCCGGGCAGGTGGGAGGAGGCTGGTGGGCTCGCCCAGGCGGCTCTGCCGGGGTCAGCGGGGGGCCTGGCCCGCCCGGGTGGGTGACAGGCACAGAGAGGGAGCTGCTGCCTGCCTGAGTGCCCCTCCCTGGCCTGCCTGCGCTCAGGGCCGCCGCTCAGGCCGGCGCGGTACCGCACCCTCACCCCCGGCCGGCGCTCACTTGGCCCGCATGAGGTCCTGGTCCTTGAGCGCGGAGCCCTGGAGGTAGATGACCCGCTGGGACCACAGGGGGATCTGCAGGACCCTGCGAACCTGGATGTCCATCTCGGTGGGGCACAGGATGACGACGTAGTAGTCCTGCAGGTAGGAGGGCGTCAGCCCTGCTGGCAGGCTCGCTCGGCTCCGGCCCACCCTCCTTCCTAGTGTTTCCACACCAGTCGCCTCTCAGGAGGCCCAGCCTTCTCTGTGATGGTGTATCTGGCAGGAGGGAAAGGCAGGACCCCACAGACCCGCCCCCACAGCGTGGGAGACCGCCGGGGCTCCACTGCACAGGCAGGGAAACCCAGGCCCGGGGAGCTCAGGGGGCACTGGGGCGGGGTGGGGCCGTGGGCGGGGCCTCACCTGCAGCCGGGGGTGGGCGTAGAACTCATTCAGAAAGTCCATGAGCAGGTCGATCTTGAGGGAACTGACACATAGGATCACGTGCTTCTCCGTCTGGGCCCGGTGGCGGCTGTAGTTGCCCCCCGACTTCTGCCGCTCCATCCACAGGTAGACGAGCTCCTCAAACTGCAGGTAAGAATGTGTGAGCTCCAGGAGGCCTGGGGCTCCGGGAGCTGCGACAGCAGCATCCCGACCACGTCTCGGAAGACCACGGGCAAAGTCTGTGGCACAGGTCACTCACGGGGCCAGGTGGGGGCAGCGCGGACGGTCCCGCCAGTGTGGGGGGTAGTGAGAGACGCGGCAGGTCCGGCTCCCAGCCCCAGGAGGCCAAGCAACCGTTAGTGGATGCCGAAGTATACACTCCGAGCATCCAGGTAACTGAGCCCTTTGGGTCTCCATCAGCACCTGAGACACGTTTTGGAGAAACCTGGAAACGTGTCTTGGAAAAGTCTCAGGCCTAGAATGAGGGACCCAGGTGCCCGGCATGGAAGGAGAACTTTGAGTACCATGGTTCTGAGCCCACGTTAAGGGTGTGGGTGATTCGAGGCTGCCGTCTGGGGGGTGCTGTCCACCCTGGCCCACACTTCCTGGCTGTGAGCTTTGGGTGTTGAGAGCCCTTTGTAAGTAAGACAGTGACACATCCATAAAGATGGGCTGGCGGTGAGGGGACTCCAGGCTCCACGGAGCTGACCGGGGTGCTGACCTGCCCAGGGCCTGCCGCTACTGTCTGACTTCCCGTCTCTGGGTGACAGCCAGACCCCGTGAAAACACCGAGGTCGTTCATTTTTTTTCCACACAATTTAAAATGAATGGCAGCAGCCACACCCTCTGGTTCTCACCTGCTCTGGGTGACGTGCTGTATCTTGCTAAGGGGAGATCATCTCATTGAATTTATTGAGCACCTACTGGGTTCCAGTGACAAGGCCCTGTGGCCTGGAAGCACAGGACTGGGCCCTAGTGGGAGGGGCCGGAGACCCCAGGGTGATCCCTGAGGCCTGTGCAGGACTGGGGCTCCGACGGCAGACACCTGGATTCAAGCCTCCCACGTCACAGGTGTGGCCCTCCGAACGTGACCTTATTTGGAAATAGGGTCTTTGAGGATGTAATGAGTTAAGATGAGGTCAGACTGGATTAAGGTGGGCCCTACATCCAGTGGCCGGTGTCCCGTAACGAGAGGACACAGAAGTACAGGAATAAGCCACATGGAGACGGAGGCAGAGCTGAGAGGGATGCAGCCACAAGCCCCAGGACGCCAAGGACCATGGCACCACCAGAAGCTGGAGACACGGAAGCAGAGCCTCCCCTCAAGCCTCCAGGACCAGCCCTGCTGACACCTCGGTCTCAGACTCTGGCTCTGGACTGTGAGAGAGTAAATTTCTGTTGTTTAAGCCCCCACCCCCCCATTTGTGGGGTGCTCTGTTCCGGCAGCTGCAGGAAGCACTGATGTGTGAAACTCAGCCCTGAGCGGGGAGGATGCTGTCAGCTGTCGTCACTGTTACTCTGCAAGGAACATTTACAGGTGGGCATTTCGTTGTCACCGTCTCTAAGGGCACTAACTGGTGAACGTGGTTAAAGAAAGAACGAAGGACAGTAACCGGGACCGTCCCTCTCCATCACTGACAACAGATTAGTCAGTCTCGCGGGTCCTGACCATCCACTAGCCCTGGAGGATGGTGTGTGCCTCCAATGCCGGGCCCTGCGGCCTCCCTCTCCTTGGGGCTTGGGCACCAGCCTGGCCTGGGTGATGGGATGGAAGCACCAGCTCTGAGCGGCCCCTGCACCCGCCAGGAGCGTGGGGGCCAGAGCACCGCAGGAACAGAAGCTCCGCAGCCGTGGGACAAGGGCACAGCCTTGCGGAGGCGTCCGGGATGCCAGGGGGCGGGAGCCAGCTTACCTGGCACTGTTTACTTGAAACCACACACGACCCCTCTATGCACTCACAGGGGGCACACACACGGGTGACAGCCCCCAGCCCCACAACCTGCCCCGGGGAGGGGAGATCGTCCCCTCTCTCTCCTGATGTAGCTCCTGAGTGGGACAGACTTGCCATGCTTGAAAAAGTTCCGGATAGTAATGTAAAAATATAATTTTAAACTTAAAGAAATATGATTAATTAGAATTAAAAACATAAAACAAATAATGATGTTCATAACTATATAACTACAAATGCAACTTAACTTATAACAAAAAATAATTGACGTATATAAATTTAGATATCTAAAACATTAAAAATACGATTTAGAAAAACATGATTGTATAAAAATATAATAAAATGTGAACATGGATTCTAAAAAGGCCCTGGGAAAGTGGACGGCCCACCTTGAGGTGCTCTGTGGCCTGAGGGGGCTCTGCCGGGGGCGGGGGGGAATGGGGGGAGGACGGGGCTTCAGGTGGAGGCCAGGGAGGAGGCCACTGCTGAACCAGGTCCAGGAAGGCAAGTTCTGGCGAGCGCGGGGATGGGGGTGAGACCTCTGTTTAGGGCTCTCGGCCCACGGGTGTCCCTCGCATGCAGCTGGCCTTCCTGGAGGGGTTGGGCTGTGCTCCGGACCAGGGGGAAAGCAGGGAAGGGGGGGTGTCGGCTGGGGGCTCCGAGCTGCAGGGCGGGGGTGGGGAGTTGAGCTCAGGGTCAGCAGAGGACCCCGGGGGTGGACTGGCCCCAGCTGCAGCCACAGTTAGGCACCTCCCCTGCCCCGTCCCTCCAAATCCTGAGTGTCCCCCGTGGGGTCTGGCTTCCCCCAATCCATCCTGATCCCTCCCCTGGGCCTTCTCCTGCCCTCTGGAGGGCTGGGGGCGCCTGCAGCCACCGGCCCCCTCTCCAGGCCTCTACCCGTCGTATCTAAACACGGGTGGCTCAGCCGGCAGATTGGCCTTGCTGACAGGCGACGGGGAAGCAGCTGTGCCCCACGGGGTCCTGACAGCTGCTGCCGCTGCACCGGCTAAGGACTCCTGATGCCCAGCCCGCGGGACACCCTGGCAGCCCCCGTGCTCCACACTCCGCACGGGACCCGGGGGAGCCGTCTGAGCCCCCCCCCCCCACTGTCCTGACGGCTGCGGGCCTCACTAGCCACAGGTCCCCAGGAGGCCCCGGCAGGCCCCGGCAGGCCCCGCGTGCCCCTGTCGGGGTCTCGGCCTTGCGGCCCCTCCCAGGACTGGCACCCCTCCCTGCCCCTCTCGGCCCCGCCGGGCAGGGCTCACACCTGCAGCGGCAGCACCACGAGGGCCACACAGATCATGATGGCCACCAGCAGCTGGGACGGCCAGATCTTGGGCGTCACGTCTCCGTAGCCCACGGTGGAGAAGGTGACGATGCAGAAGTAGAAAGACGTCAGCAGGGACAGGTTGCCGCCCGCGCGCTCCAGGTGCTGGATGCCGCAGGTCCTGGAACCGGGGATGGGGGTGGCGGCAGGGCCTCGGCCGGCCTGGCTCCTGGGGCGAGGCCGGCCCTGCCCGCAACAGCACGTCAGCTGTCGCCGACATGGCGCCCCAGCCTGGGCCCGGGTCCAGCTCTGCACTTCCCGACCCCGGCCTGCGGGGCTGGCACACCCAGTGCATCCCCCCGGGCCTTCCTTTCCTGCCCCGAGGCGCCTTTGAGGCCCCTGGAAAATTGGACGGGAGCGCGGACACAGCGCTGCGTGGGCTCAGCGTGGGCCTGGGGTCAGAGGGGGTGGGCGGAGCCGCCCAGGCTGCGAGCCCCTACCTGCCACCCACCTCGGAGCTCGTCCTCCCCCAGGAGGTCAGACGGCGTGGGGCACGACCAGCCCCCCCGCCCAGCTAGAGCTGGACAGTCCTTCCCCGCCGTGGCCCCGCGTCCCGTCCCCACATACACCGTGGCGCGGTACACAGCGGTGCTGGGGCCCTCCCCAGGGTGGACGCGCTGGCTGCGGGGAGGGGCAGGCTGGACCACCCTGGCGCTTCCTGCCCCGCGGACACCCCGCCCCGCTCCGCTGCAGTGTGCGTCTGCGTGTGTAGGGGGGGGGCGTGGGGGAGGGGAGTTGGGAGGCACACAGCCTTGGGACCCGCCCGTGTCCTCGCCCAGGGCACAGGCACGTGCGGGGGGCGTGCTCTCCGCTCCAGCCCCCCGGCTGCTCCCAGATCTTATTCTTGGCTGGACCTCGAGCCGAGGGTTCCCCCCGCCCCCCCTCCAGTGCCCTCCTCCACCCTGTCTCTGCCTCCGGGCCTCCACCCCGGCTTCTCGGACGTGGGGCCGGGCGGGGACTCACCCCGTGAAGACCAAGCACAGCAGGGTACAGAAGAGGATGAGGACCTGGTTGAACATGGCCGACTGGGTGCGCAGGATGGCTCGGTGGAAGTCGTTCTGCGGGAAGTGGCGCCATCAGGGGCAGAGCAGGGACCGGTCGGAGCCCAGGGCCCCCCCCCCCCCCCCCCCCGGCCCCACGTCCCAGATGCACGAGAATGAATGAATGGGGCGGGGTGGGGGGGGAAGGGCGTGGCCGCGGCTCCACCTGACCTCAGCGCTCGGTCTCCCCGTCCGGCCTCTGCCATGCCAGGGGAGGACCCGGGGCGCAGGCCAGAGGCCGTGACCTCAGCGCCGTCACCTCACTTTGCAGTGGGGATGGAGGTGAGCCGAGGGAGCCTGGGCTGGGGAGGGGCACCCTGGGAGAAAACAGTCGTTGCGCCGCCTGCCGACAGGGGCCTCGCCCAGACCTCAGCACAGGGTCTGCCCGTGGCCCCGTGTCTCGGGGCCCCGCCTGCGCTCACTTGCACTTTCACCCTCTCCCTCCACCAGCCACGGTTCCAGGGGCAGGGACAGGCCTGGGTGACTCTCCCGGGGCATCAGGGCTGGGGCCCCAGCTGGTCAGGAAGGAGGTGTGAGGGCATCTCGTGGTGACAGAGACACGTATGTCCACCGGTCAGCCCGGCCTCCTGGGCACCAAAGGAAGCTGGCCAGCTCTCCACAGGGCCAGGGCATGGCGAGCTGTGCCCTGGGGTCCTGGGGGCCTCGCAGAGGTGAAGCGGGAGGGGAGGGGCGGGGCAGGGGGGAGCCCACCCTGCCCAGAGCTGCCTGGCCCGCGGCTCACAATCATGTTCTCCAGGGCGTGCTTGGCCAGCCAGCAGTTCAGAAACACCGGGATGAACAGGTTCCGCAGCGGCGGCCAGAATATCTGTGGAGGAGACGGGTCAGGGGGCGCGGGCTCGGCGGCCCCTTCCTCAGCTGGTGGTTCACCCACCGTGATGATGAAGGGCAGCGTGTTGATCATCTCCAGGATGAAGGCCACGCGGAAGATCTGCTCCCAGATGTTGCCCTGGGGAGCCAGGGGGGTGGGCTTCAGAGCAGGTGGGCGGGGAGGGGGCCAGGGAGGGGTGTAGGGGGGGGGGGTGCGGGGGAGGGCAGGGCCAGGCCTGGGGGCACTTACTTTGTAGCTGAGGTAAGTGAGGAGCGTGGTCTCCAGGAAGCTGACGGCGGCCACGGTGACCTGGGGCGGGGAGGGGCCGGAGCCTCTGAGCGGGGCCGGGGCAGGCAGGGCCCCCCAGAGCCGTGCTGCCTCCACTCACCTGAGTGGCCCACAGAGCCGTCTTCCTCTCCACCCACAGGATGGGGGCCCTGGGGAGAGAGGGAGGTGAGCCCTGGGCCTCTACTGACCGCAGGCTGCTGCCTGAGCTGGACGAAGGGCAGCAGCCTTGCCCTCGGAGGGGCCGAGGGCAGGAGGGAAGGGGAGGTGCCCGGGGAAAGGGGGCCCCAGGGCGGGGCCTGAGAGGCCAGGGCCTAAGCGGGCTGCCCTGGGGACGGGCCGTGGGCTCAGAGTCCGCAGCTGGCCCAGGTGGCCTCCCCTTCTCGTCTGGGCTCCCGGGGACAGGCTCCTACGCCCGTCCCCGCAGGGGCAGGGGTGCTGGCCATCACGCTCCCCGGTTTCCGACCTCAGGTCCTCGTCCATAACCCAGCAGGGGAGGGGAGTGACTTGGGTGGGGGTGTCCCTGCCCAGACGCAGCCCTGGGACAAAGGCTGGGGCGAGACCAGCAGGAGGGGTCGGGTGGCCGTGCTCAGTGCAGAGCCAGACCCCAGACGGCCAAGGCCCTGACCCCCGTGGGCCCCTGTGGGGTGGGAGGGCCCCCGCCGCAGTGGAGGCATTGGGCTGTTGTTTCCTCGGCCGAGGGACACAGACTCTGAAATCCCCAGGCCTTCAGGGCTGCTTGGACGAGAGTTGGGCCTGGGCTCAGGGGCTGCCCTGGCCGCCACTCCGAGGCACAGGCCCAGAAAGGAGAGGCTTCCAGGGCCGGGTGTGAAGGGAGGGGCTGGCGCGTCCCTTCCACCCCAGCTGTGCGTGCCTTCCAGGGACAGGGCGACCGGGCCAGAGCGGGAGAAGCTGCGGAGCTGGGGACAGAGCTCAGGGTCTGGTACATTGGGTCCTGCTGCTGCCAAGTACCAGGACTGCTCTGCGAGGCTGGGCCGGGGGTGCCAGGGGAGGGGCGTAGGTGCAGGCTAAGGCCAAAGGGGGGATCTGGGTTTGGGGAGGCTGGAAGGGAGAAGCCTCCATCAAGAAGGCGGCCAAGGCCCTGGGACGCGTCCTGGCCTGTGGACCAGGCACCCCCGCCGCTCTAGCGTCACTTCCCACTGCCTGACTGGGCGCCTGCTTTCTTTGGCTAAAGGGCCGTGAGGTGCAGAGGCAGCGATCGACCCTCCGGCAGGTCCTCGCTGCATCTCTCCTCCCACCCACGGTCCATGAGGGCTGGGCCAAGCCGGCTGCTGGTGACCCCTGCTGTCACTCTTAGATTGCTCCTGGGCCTCAGGGGCTGTACGCTGAGGGGCCATCCCGCCACTGCCCGCTGCTTGGCCAGGGCCCGGGGATCCCAGGAGGGTCACGGGCTGCGGCTGGGCATCTATCCTGGGGGGCTGGGCAGTGTCACCCTCTGTCCACCCGACCCGGCCCTGGGCCTCTGAGTGGGAGCTGGGTGGCAAACTCACCAATTGATCTCGGAGGACGACTCATTGAAGGTGTAATTCTGCTTCGGGCAGCCCCAGCTGTGGAGAGACGGAGCTGGCTGGCCACGGCCCCTCCCAGCACCGCCCCCGAAGGGGCCAGACCCTTCCCAGGGTTGCCACGGGCCTAGGGCGTATGGGGGACACACTCTCCCCAGCCAGGGCCAGGCCCCCACAACTCAGACAGGCGTCTGTATTCTAACACCTGGGGAACAGGCAGCCTGCTCGCACCCTGCAGATGCTCTCGGAGGATCTCTAACGGATGAGGGGCAGGCCGGGTGAGGAGGACACAAGAGGTGAGCCCAGGAGGGAGCGGGGATTCCACCTGGGCTGCCAGCAGAGAAAGGGCTGCGCGTGGCCAGCGATGGACCACGCAGCACTCAGGGCCTCCTGGAGGCCAGAGCTGCCGAAACAAGGCCGGGCGACGTGCGTGAGACACGAAGAAAAGCCGAGCTCCTGCCCCGTGGTGCCGGCTCCAAGACGCGTGTCCCTAAGTCACTCCCGAGGACAAGCCTCCCCAAGCCACCTGGATGCCCATCACTGGGAAGGTGGCAGGGGCCTGGCAGACATGCTAGTTCTGCCCCAGATTACAAGCAAAGCCAGGGTCACTGGCCAACAGGACCTCACTCTCACAGAGCCCCATGGTGACGGGCAGCTCCCTCCTCCTTTTTTCTCAACTGACGCACTTCCTCCTAAGCCTGAGCCTGTTGTTGCAAACTCAATGCCCATAGAAGTCGCCAGCCACCCTCCCATCCAGCCACCCACACATCATCCATCCACCCACACATCCATCCATCCATCCATCCACCATCCTTACATCACCCACCCATACACCCTCCTCTCATCCATCCACCTTCTATCCACTCATTTATCCACCCACCCATCCACCCGCCATCTATCCACCCATCCATCCAGCGTCCTTACATCATCCACACATACATCCTCTCATCCACCATCCACCTTTCTATCCACCCACCCACCCATCCATCCTCCTTCTATCCACTCATCTGTCCACCCACTCATCCATTATCCATCCATCTCTTCATCCCTCCATCCATCCACCCACCTGTCCATCCATCCCACGCATACATCTACCAGCCCCCTCACCCATCCATTCGCTCTCCCACCCACCCGTCATGTGCCAGGTGCTGTGCAATGAATACAACAGAGCCGGTCCCTGTGGGGATGTAAAGCCGGATGTCCCAGACGCCTCTGGGAGTGGGAGAAGGTGGGATGAACCCAGCAAAGTGCTTGGAGAGTCAGAACCCCGGTTTCCTTCTCAAACCACCACGGTGGGATCTGTCCTCCTGCACTCCCGATGAAGACAGGAGGTCCGTTCTCAGGAGTGGGTGAGGGTCTGGCCTGCGGAACCCGCCCCGCTGCACGTGGCGGGGAGGTAACTACAAGCTTGCACTGCGAACTTTGACCCCGGCCTCCTTCCCAGCTCAGCGGGCGGGAGCCCAGGGGCCAGGCCTTACCCTGCAGGGAAGAGGGGAACGATCTGCCCTGAGGAGCCAGGCAGACCCAGGGGACGGTGGTGACCAACTGGCCACACACCCTGACCACAGGGCCCTCGGCCTCCGAGAGCCCAGCCTTAGTGTGCGTGGCCAGACGCTTGAGGAAGTCCCTTCAACGCGAGCTCGGGGGCGCAGAGACTGAGCAGAAGGGGGAACTGTAAGAAAGGAAAGCGGTTCAGACAAACCCGAGGTGCTGATGGCAGGGCGCCTGCAGGGGGACCGACGCTTGGAGATGAAGCGTTCTCAGAAATCAGAAAACACAAGAGCAGAGGTGAAAATCTCAACCAGAGGCTGGAGAGAAAGCTGGGGAGACCCCCAGACAGAGCAAAAGAGGGAAGCAGGACCATTCCAGAACCTTCCAGAACCCCACATCCGGGTATGCGGGAGTCCAGAGAGGCTCCCGGAGCAGATGGGGAGGTGGGCCGGGAGGGGCAAGGGGAACCGGGTGGAGCCCCAAGAAAGAGGCACACCCCTGCCCTGCACCGCGAGGCTCACGTCCTCCCCCCACCGAGGCCTGGCACCCCTGCCTGCCCAGCAGGAGCTGCTGAGCGACCCAGAGCCCCTCGCTGAGACCCCCCCGCGCACCCCTGGGCGAGCAGGGAGGGGGCATCCCAGACCCCCAAGGAGAGCTCTGTCCAGGTCAGGGTGTGGCTGCAAACGCAGCCGTCGTCCACGACAAGGACACCCTTCTGCCCATGCTGAGCCGGCTGGTCAGCTGGAGTCTGAGGGTGGCATCCTGGCCACGGCTCTGTTGGGGAGGGGTACTGGGTGGGGCCCCATGGGGGAAGGAAGGACTCCCCAAGGCCCTGGGCACAGGGCGCCGGGCACGGACCCATGTGCGGACCCCATCGGCCTCTGTAACGGCAGAGGGCCCACAAGAAGGCCCAGCCCCGGGCCCGCAGGTCACCCACCATCCGATCCCCAGGGCCGGGTCGTCCAGCAGGACACGGACAATGTAGAGCAGGCAGGTCAGCAGCTTCAGGGAGAAGTTGAACAGCCGGATCCTCAGGCCTGTGGGGGGCGGGACGGTGGTCAGGGCTCCCGGACTGGCCGGGGTCCCAGCCCGCACTCCGCCCTCTGCACCTGGGCCTCCGCACCGGCTGCCCCGCCAGCACTGACAGGGTGACTCTGCTGGGCCGGCCTCTGAGAGGCTTCACCCTGTCCCGCCTCACGGACGTGGTACAGAGGGCTCCCGGGGCTGGTGTCACCGGTGGCGGGGGGTGAGGGGAGCAATGGACAGACTGACGGACCAGGACCCACGGGCACCTCCGCACCCCATCTTGCATCCCAGGGGGCCAAGCTCCTGCTGGGATGCAGGTGGAAGGTACCCGCAGCGGGAGGGTGGGGCCACACGGAGGGGCCAGGGAGCCCCTCGGGGTGAAGGGGCTGAGACGGTGCCACCCGGCTGCCAGGGGCGGCGGGTCCCCACAGGGTGGGACGTGGTGCAGGCCGGAGGTGAGGGGCACTCCCGCCGCCCTGCCCCCCACCCTGAAGGCCCCACTCACTGGATCTTTGGTTTTTGATGAAGAACAGCTTAAGCCTCTCTTTGAAGGTGTTCTCGTTGACGTAGAACTCCACCTGGACCCTGGGGGGCGGGCAGGAAGGAGTGGGCCCGGGGCCAGCGGGGGCTCCAGCCCAAAGCCCCCCGCACGGCGGGCCCCTCCCTGCTGCCAGAGCCAGGGTCAGTGCTGCCACCTCGGACAGAAGGCCCTGGGTGCCACATCCCCACGTGCCCCCAGCGGACCTGCCCACCAGCTGCCGCCTTCTCAGTGCCCAGGGACCCCCAGGCCCTGCAGAGGTGTGTGCTCACAGGCCCCCAGCTGGGCTGTCACGGCAGCCACCAGGATTACATGTGGCCTGTGTGGCCCTTGGCTCAAAACATGCTGTATCATTAGTATAGAATGTTCCAGAAGCCAATGGTCAGCTGCTTTGTCTGGAGGCCCCTGGTGGTTGAGCCTGGAGACTCGCTGCAGCCCGTGGGATGGTCGAGGCAGACAGGCCGGCAGTGGGCCCCCGCCCTAGATGACCCCCAGATGCCCTGAGTCCCTGCCCGGGCTCCCAGCATCCTGGGAACAGACCGCACGGACTGGCAGGATTTTGCTGTCGAACGAGGAGACAGGGGGTGGGGATGGCCCGTCTGGTCACTAGGGTAACGTGGGACCCGGAGGCCACGGGCCGCTGCCCCCGCCTCGGCCGCGAGCCCGCTGTGGCCGGCATGCTGGCTAGGCGAGGGCTTAACGTTCCACCGTAACAGAAACTCCAGTGTTGACAGCAGGCAGCACGACAATGACCCCGTAGCCAGGTTCCCGCGGTGGGAATGGTCCAGCACCGCTTTTCCCTCGCCGGGTGGGGGCCCTGGGGCGGGGCTGCCTTGCTCTGGGTTAGCACCTGGCATCTGCCACACGGCCTCCGTTCCAAGCTGCATCTGCCCCACTGGCAGGTGGGTCTCAGGACCCCACAAGCAGCCCGTGGGCATCACTGTGGCCAGTCGTCACCCCCTGACCAGACAGAGGCACCAAGAGCTCGGGATTTGGGGCGGGGCTTTTGACCGGAAACGCCTGGTCCAGATGCCATGCCCTGTGCCTCACCTCACCCAGATGTCAGGTGGAGGCGGCCCCGCCACCCTCAGGGATGTTGTGTGGGTGCGATAAGACTGTCCAGGTGAGGCAGCTGCTCAGCCACACTCTGTGTGAAGACCGTGACACAGGAGGCAGAGGGACTGAGCACCCTGAAGACAGAGTAGTGCTACCCAGAGGCACCCTGGAGGGCTGCACGTAGGAGGTGGCGGTTGAGCAGATGGGATGCAGGACAGTGGTCCACAGGCAGAGGTGAGGCGCACGCTGGCCCAGGTCCCTGCTCCCCACCCCTACCTCCCGGTCGTCGTCCACCAGGGTGGAGGGCTGTGAACGTCCTCCCCCTCTGACCAGGCTCCAGCTCCTGTCGATGCAGAAATTCATGCCGCTGTCACCTTGAAAGTTCAATGGCACTGCTCTGCCTGCGGCTGGCTGCCCCAACATCTCCAAGAAGTGTTTAAAATGTTCATCACTCCTCAAGCCTGTTCTAGGCATAGTGTGTGATACAGACTTGATATGTTGGCAGCAGCCGTCTGGACCTTCCCTGGTGATGGGCCCACGGGAGGGGACTTGGGCAGAGCCCCAGCACACCTCCCTGACCTTTGCCAGGTCGGGGGCCCTGGCCTGACCACAGTGGCCCCCACTGGTCACAGGGCTCAAGAAGGGCCCAGGGGCAGGAGCTGGTGGTGTGGGCCCTTCCCCACTCTCAGGTCCTGGTGCAGGGCGGTCAGCCGGGGTGGCAGGACAGGCCTCCCGCAGACCGGAGGGGTCCAAGCCCAGAGCCAGTGGTCAGTGCACCCCACTGCACCCCAGCACACCCCACTGGCCCTGAACCCCAACCTCCTCTGCAGGTGCTACCCGGAGCCGGGTCGCGGGAATCCGAGGGTCCCTCTGGGGAGTTGGTCAAATGCCTTCTCTCTGAAGGAGCAGCTCAGACAAGCCAGGCTGGGCCTGGGCCAGGTCAGGGGGCAGACGCCCCTCGGAGGTGCCCACGTGTCCCGAGGGACCACTCCCCCACCGTCCTGCCCTGCACAGAGAAGCCTCAAGGAGGGGTCCCCAGCCTTTGTGCCCCTCCACTCGGGTACCCCCTTCCTGGCCCTCACCTGGCCAGCAAGGCCTAGCTCGGCCCACGTGGAGGGTGCGCGTGGCTGGTGGCCGAGTCTCCCTCCTTCCTCCTCAGCCTCCCGGGGACCTGCCCCCCGTGCACCACGCCCCCAGCCCGCATGCCTCTCACGGCGGCTGCCGCTGCTGCCCCCGCAAGTCCCCGCCCAGGCCCAGGGGTCAGGACTGCCAACCGGGACTGGTCACGCCTCAGACATGGAACCCGTCAGCCCCCTGCCCGGGCAGCTGTGGACACCCATCTGGACAGGCCCCCCCGGCCCCGGGCGCTCTCCACGCGGGAGGAGAGAAAGGGGTGGGGGGTGGCGGAGCCCGGCGGAGACTCGGCCCCGGGAGGTCGAGCCTGGGTGCCCGGGGAAAGCCACGGAGCCGCCTCCACTTTTAATTTTTCACGAGCTGTGGCTGCCCGCTTCTCCCACCACAGAAAGTAAGTTACAAGCTTTCCATTTACTCTGAAGTGCAGGTGCAACGGGTGTGATTCAGCTGCAGGATGTGCTCTTGGCTCCACAAGTTGCTGGGGGATGCGGCCACGCCGGGGTCACGGACCATCTGGCCTGGCAGAGCCCCGCCCCTCCCCCTGCCTGTTGCCCCGCCTGTCTGAGCCTCGGCGCTTCACCTGGGGCTCGGGCGGTGACAGGAACCGCCTGCCATGACGGCCCGGCAAACACAGCTCGAGAGCCGGGTGAGGGCAGACAAGGGGTCCACTCCGTCTGCACCCGCTTGCATCCATTCACCTGCTCCTTCGGCAGGACGCCCGGCGGGGAGGCCTGGGCGCACCGCGGGGCCCCTGCTGCCCGCTGCCCGGGGTGCAGGAAGGTCTGCGGCACTGGGCAGGCCTGGTCACGGGGCCCCGAGGCTTCTGAGAGCCCTGGCCTCAGACGGTCCCTGGGGTACCCCCTGCGGTTCGGCCATGAGCCCCGAGGACTGGACAGGCCAAACCCACTCCCTGTCCCGGGACAGTCCCGAGCCCTGCTCCCTTCCGTCCGCCATGGAGTGAGCAGCTCTCAGGCTGGCGAGGACGGCGGTCCAGGCCGGGCAGCTGGAGGGCCATGTCCCCAAGCCCGGCCACAGGGCCTCTCGGAGAGGTCCCGCCAGCCCCGTCCCTATACACATGGAAACTGAGGCCCACTCAGGCTGGACGCTGCCTCAGGTCACCCAGTGGTCAGAGGAGACAGGGCTCTGGACTCCCAATGGGGCCTGGGTCTCCCGAGTTTCAGGGGCGTAGGAGTCAGGTCCCAGCAGGCGGCCGTGGCCCATCCCCACTCGGCTCGCGTTCGCTGCCGGTGCGCAGGGTCTTGCCCACGCTGGGGTGGACCAGAGGAGGCCCCCTCGTGCCAGCAGAGCAGCTTGAACTGCCCCCCCCCCCACCAGGACCGCACCTGCCAGGCGAGGGCAGGTGGAAGAAGGGGCTGCAGCTCTCCCTGCTGACTGGCAGCTGACCGGCAGGCTGCGGGCGTGGCCTTCCAAGGATTCCCGGCAGGCAGCTCTGGCACAGATGGCCTGTGCCGGGAAGCGGCACACGCAGGGCCGGGCGGCCGGTCCCGGTGGGACACCAGGCACACGGCTGTGGGGAGGCCCACCCGCCCGGCGGTGCCAGCCTCGCACTCACACGGGGCCGACGTCTGGCGGCCTTCTTCCCGGTCTGCTGCTGCGTGCCGGTGGCTCTCCAGCAGGTGCCTGGGAGCTCCACGCAGGAGGCCATGGAGCCCCGGGCGAGATGGGAGAGCAGGGCTGGGGCCCAACTACCAACGCCGAGGCCGCGGCTACTCTGCGAACGGGCAGAGCCCGTGGCCCGCCCTGCTCCCCGGGCAGTGGCAGGTCCCAGGGTGGGCGGGCAAGGAGCCGGGCTGATCTGGGTTTGGAGGTGGGGCCCTCAGGCGGACAGGCTGCGGACGGGCTGCTCTGCCCCAGCTGCAGCCTCGCCTGTGGGGGCATCAGGGGCACAGGCTCTCCTGCAGCTCCTCCCACGGAACAGGCTGGGGCACAGGCCGCCCGCTGTCCCATGTCAGCCCACGGCCACGCGCCTCCCCTCTGCCACTCAGCCCTCCCGGTGCCTCACACACCGAGGAGAGCAAGGGCTCCGGGTGACCTCTCAAACCAACAGACAGCGCCATCCTGGGCCTCCCCAGTCCGAGAGAGCATCCTTGTACTGGCGCCTTGGCTCGGTCAGGGGCTCCGGATGACCTCTCAAACCAACAGACGGCGCCATCCTGGGCCTCCCCAGTCCGAGAGAGCATCCTTGTACTGGCGCCTTGGCTCGGTCAGGGGCCCCGGTGAGCCTCCTTGGGCCTCCGAGGGCCCAGGGACGTTTGCTCTGCCCGTGACAATGCAATTCTGGGGCAGCAGGACCCCAGCCTCGGCCCCTCAGGCGGCCGCAATCGTCCGCATCCTCCCACGGTCTCAGACCCGCTCCTGGTGGGGCTGGGAGAGCCCTGCGGTGGAGGAGGTACCTTCCCCCTCCTGTTACCCACCGCACCACCGCTGGGGGGCTGAGGCCCAGGGCAGCTCCCAGGCCCCTGCCAGCGGCGTAACAGCGCAAAGCCTCCGGCTGCAGGGGGTGGCGCGGGGAAGCCCCGTGCGCGCGGTGGTGGCCAATGTCGTCGGTGTTAACCAACGAGACTAAAAACCAGGCCCCAGTCAGTGGCCACACTGGACGCCGTGGGTGTGAGCAGGTGGGGGGCTCTTTCCCAGGAACGCCCCCGATGGGGCTGCTGAGGGCGCTTGGGTACCCTGACCTCAAAGCACCCTCTGCTTGACCTAAATCCTAGCTGAAGCCAGGAAAAGCCTGGCAGGGCTCACGGTGGGGCAGCCGAGCCAGGCGCCTGGGGGTCCGGACGGTCACCAGCGGTCACCTGTACGCCTGTCCCCACGTAGGCACCACGGCAGGGGTCCC